TCTTTCCCTTTCGTCTTGCAATCAGTATTGCTTGGACAGAAGAGAGATGCTGGAAATAATGGAAAAACTCCCCCATCGTGAGCTGCAGATCACTATGATATAGTCGTAGTTACAGGGGAGCAGACTTTGTTCTAAACCTAGAACTACTGTGACCTGTCAGGCAACTTAGTCTTTACATCTCAAGGGAAGTTAAGTAAACCAGCTCAGTTACCTGACTATTCAGGAACTATGCAAGAGCCTACTCACTTCACAAAACTCTTTGCAGTGCCATAGGCCATCCTGATATCCAAACTGCTTTGTCTGCCTAGACAGAAACAAAAATCAAGTTTTGGCACCTGCTGCATTCTGTGCTGAAGACACTTTCTTTGCAGTTTCACTTTGACCTCAAAGCAGAACTTTGTAAAGTCATGCTGGCTATTTATTTTTGGCTCTCTTCTGTCTCAGAGGAAATACACAATTGTACTTCATCTCAGCTGAAAAATCCACAATTGCACCTGAGTTCAGACAGATTTCCTGAGGCAGTGCTCTGGGCAAAGAGAGTACATTTTGATATATGCCTTTCCCAGCCTTTCCAATCTCTGGCTATGTGAACACTGAAACAGGGGTAGGGATAGTCTTTGCTTACTCTATCCACAACACAACAAGTTTTCAACTGATTGGAATATAATCATTTATTTATCTTTACAGTGATGACAGAAGAATGTACAGGTTCTTTCACCCATAGGTATAAAAATCTGTTTATTTACACTGAGTCACAATAGTCTTTAACTGGGAAATCATTCTGTTCTCCTGATCCATCCTTACCAAAAACCACAGGAAAAACAAATATTTAGTACAGGCAATATAATTCCAGTAGGTTTGCAACCTGGCATCAAAAGCTCAGCTTTAGATTAAGGGTAATGTTCAATACTTAAAAAAGGACTTTAAGTCATAGGACACAAAATAAAGTTGCTTTTCAAATAAGATATATACATCAAAAATAGGAGTCTAAAAAAGGCATTGGTTTTAATGCTATTAGAAAGCTATATAAATGTGCATGGGTCCATTTCTTCTTATAACGAAAGACCGAAGGAGAAAGTGCCTCTGGCTTTTAGGAATTTCCTCCTGGGACAAGTCAGTTAAAAGTACCTGTAAAAGAGAAAGAAATTACCTCTTTTGCAAAAAGTCAAGGCTGATGGTTGAGTCAATTAGAATAACTTTGTTTAAACAATTGTAGTGCTTCAGATCCATGGTAAGAACATATTATAAGTACTCTGCCAGTGGCTAATAAAAAAATTAATACAATGTAAGTAGCTACTCAATTGTTGAGTCCTACAGATCCCTAGTTACCTGTTTTTGAACATTACCCACAAACATAACATGCTTTTAACATCTAACCTCTTTCACAATGCACCTTTGTGCATGTTACCCTTGTGCAGTATTTGATTATGCTCTTAAATCACTTTTTGAACTCCCATATTTTAAATACAGAATACTGTACCTTAAAAAGTTTCTTAATATATGCAGATCACACTAGAAAATTAATCAGTATGAAGGAAAAAATATTTGCAGCTTCCAAGCTATTATACATTAAGTAATCCACAAAAATCTTATTCAAGTCTAGAATTAAAGCCATTGAGGGGAAAGGAGTTCACGGAATAGAGCCAACATATTGGCTATATATATGTAAATAGGTATGAGTTCACAAGTTAATGACACTCAAGGTCTACTAATCAAATTGATTTCTGCAGAGAACTACAGTAGCAGTACAAAAATAACCACTTCTATAAATAGATTTATGACTCCATTACAAAATAATTATTTCATGCTAAATTAAAAAGTTCAAATCGACGGTTTGATCCGAAAATAGCAAGGGTTTGAAATTTCACATCTTAAGTCAATGTTCTTGCCTGACTTTCTTCAAAAACACCAATAATTAGACTTTCACAGGAGAAATACTCAAAGATTAAAAGTTTATTAGTAAATATCTACAACTTAAAATAATTAAAACATTCCAGTAGCCTGGAAAACGTCACGATTATCAGCCTGTTAGGTGGACTAAACAACACTGGGAAATAGCTCTCATTACAACATAAAGATCAGATTTCCATTTATGTTGCACCATTACAAAAAGTAATACAAATTACCTGCATTAGAAACATGAATATTAAGCAGCCGGTAGGCATATTGTAGATGGATTTTGCTTCTAATTGTAAGAAACAATATACCCTTAAATACGCAACCTAGCGCACAATCCAGACAGTGAGCGCAGAAGTAACGCCAGGCTGTAGGGCATGCCAAGGGTTACATTCTTTTTCTAAGGAGAAGCCAAAACACTATGAAATTATCACTCTTTGTACAATTTTGAAGCAAAATTCATCATAGATTTTGCATCAAATTCTCTTTTCTTTAGTGAGTAGTAGAACTACAGTTAAATGGAGCACAATATGGTCATACAGAACTGTCCTTCAGCTGTGAAAATAGCTCTAACGATACCTCTGAGGTCTGGTGGTTGTTCCATGAGAAGTGCTATGGCTTCACACACAACCTCCTTCCACCCTCAGCAGCCCACTATATATGTTCTACCCAGAGGTTCCCTGAGGTTCAAATGCCACAGGTAGCAAGAGTACCCGGCTCTGTGTGGGTTACAGGCACACACAGAAAGGGCAGTGTAACTTCTGTCTGGAGTCAGAAAAGTACGTCCCAGCAACAGCATGAGCTAAGGTATGGACAGCTGCAGTGCACGTCAGTAGGCCATGGAGAGCGCACCAGTTTGAATCGATCTGTTTAGCAGCCTTGCTAAAGCAGGTCACAGCTTGGCAACTTCCATCCTATGCCTACAAAAATTACCACAGCATAGTATTCACAGTTGTACAAAAGTTAATTTCTTTGTATCAGTCAAATGGGAAAATATATACATACATACATATATACACACACACACACTTTTCCCTTGTGGATAGCTACTCCAGAACAAAAAAAAAAAACCACACACACACACAAAAAACAAATGAAATCTTTTAAAATTTTAAAATTGGAGGGCTCAGAGCCAACACAACGATCTCCAGACAGAATTCTTAGTTGTTAAAATTTCTGCTTACTCGTTATGAATAGGTCTTATCTCAAAGCTCTGAGCTTTCATAAATGAGCACTACTAGCTCAATGGAAACAAGAGAATAAATTGTCACTCTTCTGCAGATAATTCTTAAAAAAGGCTTTAAGAAAAGTGCATGGCAGATCAACAGATCAATACTGTAAGCAGGGATGAAATGCAAGAAGATACTTTGGAAAATAAATTTGTAGAGGCATTATCCATTTGAAACTAAATACAGAAGTTTCAGGAACTTGTTTTGTAACTTTATTAAATTAAATTTTGAGGAACAGAAAAATGTTTACCCCAGTAAACCTTAGACTGCTTTACCCTCGTTTCACATCAAGTAGTAAACACCAGAAAATATACCTGCTAGGTAGCAGGTACCTCTGGAATGGTTTCCAGAGAGTGGGCCTTTCCAGGTACCTCTGGACTGGTTTCCAGAGAGTGGGCCTTTAACCTAAATGATGAAAAATACTATTTTTTTCCCTTCTCCGGTGATCTGTGTAGCATGTTAGGATGTTCATTTGCATGTTGTTCATTTGCATGGATGTTCATAGATGCAAAGCTGCCTCAGTGATCTGCTGATATACTGCATGTCAGCTAACATATGTGCTGGGAGAAAGCAGGACTGCTTCTGAACGAGATACTACCGTCCACCTGGTGACTGCTGAGTGACTGCCAGCAGCTGAGATGTATAAGTCTCAGAAGTGCCCCCAGGGATCTGACTTACCTGATTTCTTTTTATGCTTCATCTCCATTATCCATTTCTACATCTATATCTTTTGTCGTATCAGCTGCTCGTGACAAGATGTCTGCCATTAGTGCTTCCTCCAGTTTTTTACGCACTTGTTGCACCCGCTCTTCTTGTTTTCTGAAGGGAGAAAAAAAAGTAAGGGACAGAAATGTCAGTTCTTCAAGTGTATTAGTAGACTAGGCCCATAATACCTGTATAAATAATGACTCGGGACTGGTTTCTCAACCCTTCCTTTAGCTAAAACCTTTATTTACTAGCTCTGTAATATATTGCCTCTGCACATACACATGCACAAAAAAGGTGCTTGACAGTCACACTGAGAGCACGCTGAGCCAAAAACCTTTCTGCTTCAGCACATATGTTTTACTTTTTCTCAGAATAGACAGAAGAATTGAACGTGACACATGATCCTCAACTCCTCTCAGCCTAGACATTTGAAAAGACCAATAAGAAAGTTAACAGAGCAGTATCACACTGGAAAATCTTTGTCAGGGTAGGTGTTCTCTTTCTTTTTTGGGGGGAGGGGGACAAAGGCAGAGAGGTTTTAGGGTACATCATTGAAAATCACAGGAGAGTCCCATCATTCTGAGCACTACCGAGGATATCTGAGGAAATTTCACTCGTTCCCAGCAAAAGTGCTACACATCAGGAGCCCCCTTACAGAATAGGGAAATACTAAGCAGGTTTCTAAGCGTGCGGAGAACTAACTAGAAGTCCTACAGACTGCGTGCATCAGGGAAGATCCTCAAGGAGTATCACTGTTTGTTTATTTGCTCCTACTTCATCCATTCAGTCTTATCCCCTGGTCAGTGATGCATTTTAGATAACATCCACTTCTGATGAAACAAACATTTGTTTTCCTGGGGAAAATTAATTGAAAAATCTTAAATCAGGTACCAATACATAATTAAGATATTTTCACTCAATATTTGGTTTGGAAGGTAAAAATCTAGTTTTGCAAATGTTACTAGAAAACAAGGAGTCGTCTTCTGATGGTTCCCCAAGAGAATGCAAATTTTGCATCAGAAGGTTGTTTTTTTTTTTTTTTGTCATGTGAAAAACCCACTTGTTCTATCAAGCTAAGTTTATCAAAAAAGAAAACTTTTAAACAAAGCATATGCTTAAGAATGACTAGAACTTATCAAAAGTAGGCACAGTCTGCACAGGAAAACATATGTTAGAATGCTGCAAACTCCCCATGGCTGCTTAGGACGGCAGGACAGATACAAAAAACATCCTTAGAACAATTGAAGTTATATCCAACATGCTCCAGAGAAGCCAGAAGCCTCTGAGGAGCCTGTCTCTAAGGCTATTCAAATCTGCAGGTGCAACCACTACCATCCCTGACAAGGATCCCAGCACTCCACAGGTACTTTAGAGAAGGCTCTCTGCTTACAGAGATAGCAAAAGGAAAAAAAAGAAAACAAGCTGTTAGTTCGAAACAGAACTTGTTTTCTATCTTCCACCTGTTTTCTATCCTTCTTTTCCATGTACCATATATAGCTGTCTGTCCCAGAGCTCTTAACTTTCAATGGCTAGCGAGTAATCTTTTGAACCCTGGAGTAGAGAACCAATTAATAAAAAGATGCCTTATTTTTTTCAGAACCTGTGTCACAAAGGAGAAATAAAACAGAGTAGCAAATTCAGTATTTGTTACTGAATGAAAATGATTCTGAGAACATAGATAAGACGAATTAAAAAAAAAAAGTGACACAAAAAGTTGTCACAGTCTTAATTGGTGGAATAGACTGTGAAGTGGTTAAAGATTATGGAAACTATACAGTTTAATTACATTTCATTTCCTCCCCTTTTTGGCTTTAGAATTTTGAATTTAAGATACTAGGATCTTTCCGCAATCCACAACCTACAAACTCCATAGGAACAAGCTTCAGACTACACAGAATATCCATTTAGACCAACAGCCTCCTTACCTAGATTCCCGATGTTTCCTTACCCAGAGCTAATTTAAACTGTGATGATAAGATATGAACATGTAATGACAGCATTTCATAAAAAGTGGCTGAATGACCAAATTAGGGAAAATTCAGCCCTGGAATATCCTTAAAAAGTTCCCCCCTTTTGAGTGGCAGGAAAATTCCAATGAAAGAAAACACAGACGGGGCACTTCCCTGCTCTTACAAAGAATGGATCAAGGATGAAATTTAAATGTTCTTTGAACACTGTTCTGGTCACAAGGCATTTTCAGTGTACCTCATGGAAAAGTCCTGAAGTAACACACAGCCAATGAAGATACACAAAATAGTCAAGTTTACCTCCCTTTGTCAAAAAAGTCACAGGGTGCTTTGGCAGCCCTACCCATTCAGTAACCTGAATTAAGTCATGTACAGCTGAGTTGGTCTTCTGCGAGGCTGCTCTCCAGACATGCAATCTAACATAAACGTCAGCAGATATCTTATATATCAACTTTGAGGACTCAGGCATGAAACAATCATAAGCTACACCACCTTGTCAGGCTATTTTATATGAAACCTTATTTTAAGTAATACTTAACTACGTTGATGAAGTTTTGAAAAATATATGCTGAAGCATAAGCTCAGTTTATCCTAGAGTTTGGAATTGTTAATCTGATTTGTACCAAGCCCTTTCCTACCATCTCAGACTGGACATGACAACAGTGGTATTTAACTCTCGCAATACACAGAACTGATAGGCAGTTTCCTGTATCTCAGACTAGCTTCTGCTATGAAGGGCCCAGGCTTCCCATTTACAGTGTATGCAGTCTTCTCCAGAGAAGGTTGTGCCTCAGTTCGCACTTTGCAAAGTCAGGAGAGCACATGGATTTCCCGGGTTATCTCATTTTTGAATTGTCAGTGAGCTAGCTGATCTCCCAGGCAGCAATAACCATGAAGTAACTCAAAGCACTCCCAATCCTGAAGCGTCTGATCTCCTAGCAAACAGATTTTGTAAATATTAAAAACACAGTTCTGTTTATACAAGCAATATTACTTTTAAAGCACGTGAACTACCAAGAGCAAATGTTTAAGTCCCAACAGCGAAAACACACTGCTAATACAAAAGTGCTCATCTTTAACGCTAAGTAAAACTCTTAACGCTTAGAGTATCTCCATTCAATTTGATTAATTTGATTCCTTATGCTAATTCACCACAACGGCAATAAGTAAAACTACTTCAGGCCATTAGGTCAACAGCAATCCTTGCCGATGTATATTTTTTTTATAGCAAAAACAAAATGGTTAGGAAAAGCAAGCCTGGCAGCCAGCAGCACTGCCAAGGAGGGCAGACAGGCCACTCGCGAGTGCCTGCCTCCTCTCTGCTGGCTGCTGCGAGAACCACCACCAGAGTGGCTCAGCCAGCAGCACCACAGTCCCAGGCTCTGTGGCTCGCAGGACCTGCGGCTCTCCGGATCCATGGTTCCCCAGCATCATCCTGGCGATGGAGCTCCCAACATAGCAGTGGCCTGTGGTGCTGCATCTTGTCTCCCCAACTATATTACCTGCTAATAAACAGGTCACATGCTCTTTGTAGCCTTCCTCCCTGCAAAACACAATCTTCGTCCTTTAGTTTAAGTACTATTGCCTTAGAAAGCAGGTTCAAATTAAAGACTACTCCTAACATAGAAATCTACAAGCCTCTACTTCCAATTCTGATTATACTTCAAGTAGAAAACTGCTTTATACAACAGGACTGTTTATAGCTTTCCATTCTTTATTTTCTTGGTACTTAGAATGATTTCTTTGTCAACTGTACTTGCATTCTTCTCAGCATACACAACTAAGCAATGTGTGTGTGCTTTAAAGACGTGTAATTGCATACAGTTATGTGGAGTCAAACTGTGAGATTGTGTAAGCCTCTCCTCTGATTTCTCCATCTATTTCTCTGTACTGTTAAACATATTGAAGATCATTCGATTTACTTCCATATGTACCAGCTCTATCCAGTATGTCACCAAAACAAAAAATTGCATATAGCTCTTGTAATAACATTTAGTTGCAGCGGGAACACAAGGGTATCTTTACATTTCGGATTGGTGTCAGATTAGCGGGGAAAAATCCACAGAACCAACTTGTCCCTGTTGGTGCACCAGTTCTTCCTCCCAACATGAAAAGACAGAGATAATACCCCTTCCTCCCCACTGTTCCAGAACTTTCAAATATATTATTTTGTGTAGACAGTCTAATTACGAACCACCACCTTAAGTGCTTATAGTAACATCTACTCTATTTCTATGCAAAACATACTCTGGAGCGTCTCAGCAGCTGAGCATTCTGTGGTACAGATTCCAGAAGTCTTCTGCTAACCAGATCTGAGCTGCACTGCTGAAAGGAGACTTAATTACTTGTGTGTTGACTGTATTTGCTATATTATATTAAAGTCAGGTTTTTCAGTTTCTGTTAATTTCTCCCTCCTCCCCTGACCTCTCCAATACATCATTTAAAATAGATCTTTCCCATCTCCTCCGTACCTCTCAGCAGACATTAACCACTGCTAAGACAGCATGCTCTAAATGGTAGTTACGGAATTTTTCAGATGTCTAGTTAGTGTGCTTTCCTCAAATACTCTGTCTTAAACTGGTCACTAGATCTAGGGTCAGAAAGTTTATCTCATAGGTAAGACCGGGAGGAATTATTTAGGTTTTTTCCTCCGCAACACAGTATGGTGTGATCATTTTACCTTGCAAGTTTCTTATTATTGAGGAGAGCTCAGACTGTGGCAATGTTCTCGATCTCTCATTTTCTTCCTTTGGCACTTTATAGTTCTTGTGGCTTTAGTTTGTCATACTGAAAGGGAGATTTGTACAGGGTATTGAGGAATATTGTGAGGGACTAAGCTACAGCTGACTAGTTTGGATCAAGGTTCATACAGCTTAAGAAGAGGATGTTCTTAAGCCAATGCCAAACAAACTCACAGAGCTTTAAACTCAAATTACTCTCCATTCCTGTCTCATGGTAAATATAACTTGCTTTTGGGCAGATTAACAGATAATTTTTCTTATCCATTATTGTGCAGAGCGTGACATTGCCAGACATACTACATAAATTTACTAAAGCATAACAATTAAATAGGTTTAACCGCTTACAAGAAAAAGCAGAAGTCCAATTACCAAGCTATTTCAAAAGGGCAATTGTCAAGACAAATGAGAAAGTTCAGGAACAAAACCTACTAACACTAAGCACTCAGCAAAGAACCTAGACTGAGCAAGAGATAGAGCTGCTGAAAATTAAAAACTGCGATTTTCAGAAAGGACTTATGTGCTTTAGGAAAAGAAATCACCATGAAAACTATAAGCTTTAGAAAATCCCGCTAAAGAGAGAGACATTTAAAAAGAATAATAGACTAGGCTACGAGGCAGAGCAGAGCTGTAAGTCAAAAATGAATTTCATAATGGATTGAAAAACTTCATCCACCTAAGCACAATTACAAAAAATAAAATCCACCTATTCATTATTTTCAAAAGATACCATTACGCAGTTCATCCCAAAGGAGATGAGAGAAACGGATCAGAGCATTTATCCAATAGAGGCACAAAGGATGTCAAACCTAGCCTTTTACAGAAACAGAGGCAACTCAGTAGTGTGGTTCCAAAGAAGAACATGACTAGATGTTGGTCAGGAAAGAAGCTACAAACACAAGCTGCGAGGCAGCAGTCTCAAGATAAATAATCTGACAGATTCTGTTAGCAAGGAATTCCAAAAGCATTCCTAAGGAGACCAAGAGTTGGATGTAAAGACCACTGGGAACCACACCACACTCATTTTACATACCTACCTTTCACTGGACTAGCATTAAGAAGCCCAGAACTACTGAGAAGATACATCTCAGAACCGAAAAAAACAAACAAACAAAAAACAAAAAAAACAGGTGCTTGTTCCTAGTGATAAGGAAATGTGTTTTTTTCCTCATCATGCATTTATAGGAGGATATTTAATAAGTTTTCAGGGAATTTGCTGAACCAAAAGAGAACAATTTATGTTTTACTCTCATTATGAAAGAGATTTGCTATCGTTGCATGACCAGGAATATTTCTAAGTCAAGCATGACTCAAGCTGAGAGCTATTTTACTAGATGTAAACAGCTGCTAAAATCACCCCTGAGGAATTTATAGCATAAAAGAATATATGCTTGCACCTGACCAGATATCCCCAAGGGTGAGCTTTTCCTTACCATTACCTAAGTTCAGGAAGCAACTCCACTGCTTTCCTTAGTGATAACAGGTACCATATTCTGATTCTACTTTTTCATGCAGTGTGTTCTCTGGATGGTCTTAAAATGAAAGACAGGTTCACACAAACAGTATGTAAGGGTAGCTTTTAAGAATATTTAATCCTTTTGTAGCAAGCTGTCTACACAGTCATGAGCCAGAAGAGACACCTAACTTGCAGTTTATTCAAAGAGGAAGAGTTGTTTCAGTTCAGAATCTGTGTTCTTCCTGAGCTGCCAGTGATAAGTATCTGATATTAAGTTCTGAGACTCAAAGACTTATAAGACAAAGAAAGAATTCTGCTACCTATAAGTAATACATGTTGTCAAACATACGAAGAATACTTCTCATCCTGCCCCATAACTTTCTGAAACAAAGCCAGAAGAGTTTAACTTTTGAAAGCATTTCAAGTTGATGTTTAAGAAAAAAAAGCAAAGTAAATCCCTAAGCACAAGACTGGAAATCAGATAATCTTACACTCTGCAAAATTCAGCCAGTCATTTCTAAGCATTTCTAATGCTTAGAAAAGAATGTGATGGTAGCTGACTTTGGTGCCTAGTGAATTCCATAAAGTGGCAAGATGCAAGTTTGGTTCTCAAATTCGCTGCGTAATCTAGAATTAATTAACTCAAAATGTGATACTAAAGGCAACATTCATCCCACCTGTTGATTCATGCTAAGTAAGAGTAAAAAAAAAAAAAAAAAGACAAAAAAAAAAAGGAAGACAGGATTGTGCATTAAGCATTGCCACATTCCAGCAATCAGTCAATGCAGCAGGAAAACTCTCTTCACTGTGTCCTAACCCTCGAGCGCATTGCTGGAGCCTCTGCTTTCAGAAACCAAACAAAGGACCTGTCTTTCATTGAGAAGAAAATTAACAGTGCAGCTATAAAAACAAACAAACAAACAACAACAAAAACTTTGTCCATGGGCAGCTATCTGTGCTCTCCCTACCATATCCCAATCTCCCATTTCAAGGGAGTGAATTAGCCACAAATCTATATGCCAAAGGGCATTATTCTCCCTTGCTGAAACTCTACTTTTAAATTGAGATCAGCAAACTTGACAAAAAAAGAGAAGAGGGAGGGAAGAAGGCCAATACTGATCACAGCTTCAGCTTACTGGTTGGGCACTCCCTTGGGATAGAAAATGTGGGTAATGACTTATGTCTTATGGAATATTTTGTATTAATACATCTATCACAAAAAGAAAACCCAAATTTTCATTTTTCAGGTTACTGAACTAATCGTTATGTTCAAGAAACACGTTCACATTTCTCTTCCCTTATCTCCAGGATTGCATTGAGCCAGGAAGGAATATACTTCAATTGAACTTGCTTGTCATTTAATTGAAGACTTTATAAAACTTACCTAATGTCATCATCTGTAACTATGAAAGCTTTGCAGAGGGGTTGAGATGTATTAAGCCAAACAGCTGGGTTCTTTTCTACAGCTGCAGAGAGCTGTCCCGTGATAGGCGCAGAACTGGTGTGCAAAGCACTAGCAACAGCTGATAACAGGGTATCGTCGTTGTTACCTGGGCCGACTCCTAAAATAAGGATAACTGAATAGTTAACATTCACATTTCACACAAAACTTTCAGTGGCAGAGCTCTTCCCAGGTGCTAAGGTTATATACGTAGATGATATTATTGCCACTGGATGTGTGGCTATATAATCTAAACAGTTAAATACAAGCTCTTAAAAATGGCTTTGTAATAGCACAGTTCTCATTTCAGTGTAAGTCAGCATTTTACAAATCATCCTATTTCTAAAACTGGCTAGTTTCTTTAACTTACACTAGCAATTGCAATATCCTCAAATTTTTAATAAAGATGACCAGATCATAAATTTATCAGTCACATATTGAAATAGTTTCTTAGCATCTTCATGATGTTAATCTACACCAATATTTCAATAGTCTTTGCTTTAATGCTTTAAAGGTATTAAATTAATTCTAGAAAATAAACAGGGAAGGTTTTTACAACATTCAAATCCCTGTGAAAATCTCCAAGCAGTAGAACAAAATTGTTAATTCTGAACTATGACTTGACGATTTTTTAGATCGATTTTCGCCAATAAGAGCACAGTTCTGAAGCATGGTTTCTGTTAACTACATAAATGAATCAAAAATAAATGGTTTTGGAAATTGAGACATTCTGTCAGCAAATACATTCAGAATTGGAAGTTTACTAAATCTGATTGTAAACTTAAAAGCTTGTCAAGAGCATCAAAAGTCTGTCCTTTTTAAGCACAAACTACTTTGTAGATCTTGAGTAATTGCAGTAAATGAATACAATACCTTGAAGACCCTTAGGTAGCTCCATGGATTTTATGATTTGTTCACTGACATCAGATGCACTGAGGCCTTGTAGCCTCTTCTCCCAGAAAAGCTGAAAACCAGATAACAAGGTTGCTCATTAGAATAGAAAAATAATCAACTCTTGGTGATGAACAAAATTCATGAGCAAAGTAGCATCAGAATAATCACGGGGACAGACAGTGCCTAGTTGCTTACAAAACAATCAACGCAATAGTCCTGCAAGCTACCAAAAAGGTAATATCTTATCCACTGATGGAGTTTCAGTTATCAGGAACATACTTGCATGGGCATTATGCAGTGTATGTTGAAATATTGGAGCTAGCTTTGAATTTTATAGCGGTACAGCTGCACCAACACTAATGCTAGTGAGTAGCTAAACCACTTCAAAACCTATCCGAGCTCAACGATCTGGCCCTTTACTAAGCTGTGTAGATCTCTCTAGACTTATCTGGATCAAGTCTTACCACCTTCAGTAAAATGTGTGTACTAAATTCACATTCACTTTACTTTCTATTGCTTGATGTAGTTGCTGGAAACATGACCTAAGAGATTTTTGTTCAACAATGCAGAATTCCCTCTTCGCTTCTATCATACTGGTCTAAAGATTCCTCCTGAAGTTCTGGTGGAGGTTGGCAAATCCTATCCTTTAAAGTGGACCTTTTCTAGTTAGCTAGATAGCAATGAAAGCCAGTTAAAAAGTTGATTTCCATTCCACAGGAAGCTACATTTAAGAAATAAGCTCAGTAAGGAGAGAAGCGAGAATGTAGCTATGCAATTTCCTGTGGAAAGGGTATTCTGAAATAGTTCGACTTTTCTGCAGGATGTGGGGGAGGGGGAAAAAAAAAAAAAGACTATTGCTCTTCACGCCTCCAAAATCTGATAGAAAAAAACCCTAAGCAAGCAGCTATACTAATTCCTAGGAAATTCCTTCTTGCAGTTGGGAACTCAAAAGACTTAGTTTAAGACAGGGCTACCAAATGCCATATTCTGTTCTAAAACTGGAATTTTCCTCTTCTATCCTTTGTAGGGCCTGTATCGCTAGCCACACCTCGTTAAAACTGAACCACTGTACATCAGTGATTCTTATTCAAAAAAAAAACCTTTATTTCCAGTGACAGAGGCAGTAAAGCAAGGAAAAAGCAACAAAGAACGTGTACTTCAGCATTAAGAGTACTTCTGATTGGAAATAAAGCAGGTAGTTATGGTAAGAAAAATGCAATAATCTCTACATGTCTGTACAGCTTTATAAATCAGTAGGACAAGTAATACTTGTGTTCACTGATCGATTACTATGTCCTTTTATAAGAACTACTTATTTAAGTGCTCTTAGCTGGACAGTAGGACATATTTGTAACCAAGTCTAAATCCATATGGCCTAGAAAACCCACACAGGATCACCAAGCTCTTCAACTCTTTGCACAACTCTTGACAACATTGTTTGACACATTCTTGACTTCTCCGTGATTTTGAGAGCTTTTTGAAAATATACGTCACCACTCATGTCTCATTTTACTAGAGCCACTTAAACTTAAAATACTTTCTGTAAACTTATTCCTCATGCGCAGCTAGAATTCATTTTCACCGTTCCAACCCAGGTTTTAGTTACGCTGTTAGTTGAACATCCAGGCATCTCTTTCATCTTGTTTTAAAATGTTGAATATTTAGTACCTCCAGTCATTGACTTCTACTTTTTACTAATATCGCTAAGATATCATTCCAAGAAAACACTCTGGATGCACTGTAAGTCATTACTGCTCCATGGATGAAGTGGCAGTGTCTTTAGGCTGTCTGGACCGCTAAAGAAATCCTTGGTTACAAAAGCATAAATAGCAACTCACCAGCTAAACTCTAAAAGGATTATTAAGACTCACAAAAATTAAGTTAAAGTAAAATCCTATTAATTCAGTATTTCATCACTGGATTAACTTCCCACCTTGATAAAAATCACTAGAAAGCTTATTAATTTTTTGCATTGTTTAAAGAATTTATCCTTCATTCCCCTTTCCCCCTCCATTTCATCAGTTTTTAGAGCTAAACAAAAGGCTCACCACCTCCAAATCATAACTCTATTTTTATATGCTATAGGTCACAAAAATAGCTTCTGTTTACGCAGAGTAAAATTAATGGGTCTACAACAGCAGCAGCAAATGCATCACCAAATACAGTCAGGTATTACTGGTTTTTGATCCTTCAGTTGCCTACTCAAACCATCACTGCACATCACAGAGGGAATAAGGGATCAGGAGAAAGGTTAGGATATAGAAGGATATAGAAGGTTGCACAGGAATGCAAATGCATTTGCGAGAGAGTTGGGTACTTTAAGAAGGATAACTTGGATATAAAAAAGCTTAGAACATTTGCAAAGTGGAGCACAATAACTGATTGGAGGGCTCTTCCAATACCAGTATTCACTCAGTTCTTTAAGCCTTAATTTTCAATGCACCAAAGAATCACTTCAGTATCAGCAATCTGACTGACTTTGGGGTCAATGCAACATAAAAAAGCACTTAGGATTTAGTCACAAATGCTTAAGCAAGATCGAAGAAAAAAATATCTAAACTAAGTGCACGGCCACCTGATACAGTCCGGGCCCACTGAGGCTGTACCAGTACATCCAGAAAAGCAAGGTTCCTGTCTCCAGGAAAGGTGTTTTAGCAAATATGACCCTGTTATCCAGGAAGAGAATACTGATAGGACTGGGATAGGAAGGAATGAAAGAAGAACCAGAGTTCAAGATTCATCATTGTTATGATGTGATATTTCACAACTAGTGCAAAATAAATGAATAATAACTTCTGAGTATTTATCAGCAGGTTATGAGTGTTCATCCTATTGAAGGATGAAAAATAGCCCCATTTCAGTTTTGCTTGAAGACTAGCAGTTAGGGAACGCAAACTGAAAGGAGCCTAAAACACTGAACCTGCATTTACTGATACTTGAATATTCTAGGTTCAGAAAGACTCAGTAGCCAAGTGCCCCATTTCCTAGGAAGCTTTATGCCAAAGGTGACCTGTTATGCAATAATTTCTTGCGGAGCAAGAAATATATCCCTTATCACTCATACCTGCTCTCTTTGGGTAAAGCTCTTTTTTTTTTTTTTTTTTCCCTTTCCCTGTGACAGAAAAGGCAGCATGGGAAAGCAATGTCAAGGTCAGCAGGGTGGAGCAGAATTTTCACTTCCTTGTTGTTCTAAAATTCTATAATGGCAAAGCTGTACTACAGCTGTTCTTCTGAAGCTCTTTGTTTGGAGAATTATAAAATATTGCTTCCTTCATAATTGTTTTTTGTCCAAGAAAAGCCATTCGTGACTAATGGTCAGCTATAATCAAAATTGTAATCTCTGTAAAAACACAGTCTCCTAAGTAACTATTATTTCTCATTCAGAAAACAAAGAAATGATAGATTAGCCTCTGTATTGCAAGAATTACCAAGTATAAGCAGGTTATTTCTCTAAGGAAAAGGTGTAGCACCTAAAGTCTCTTTTGCAGTTGCTCAAGCAATGGAAGACTTCAGAAAAAGTTTGCTGGAAAGGGACCTATTCCAACTTACTCTTTTTAAAATAACTGCACATATGTTCTTAACGTTCAAACATTCTTGTTAAATGACTGATTTATATGTAAAACAATTAATAAAGAACCTTAAATATTTTCAACATTCTACTTACAGAGTATTGAAAATATTCTAATTGTCAACACAATGTACTTGACTGGACAAACTCCTCCTACTCAAAGTTACAGATATCTACTCTTATTTTCCACTAGGAGACAGAAAAAGCTACTGTCTAATTCAGAAGTATGACGGACATAGCAAGTTTAACAGCACAGTCATAATTCCAGGTAGCAGCCTTGCTATCTTCCCAGCTCCCTAGAATCGTATTGATTTCCATGCTGCTGGAATACAGAGTCTACACAAAATACAGTCAACATATCTGCATTGTACTGCAGACACAGACAGCCTGGGATTTTGTTATGTTTTCAAATCTACTCTAAAGGTTAAGTGAGACCAGAATGCCCAAAGTTATTGTTTGAGAAACTACTCAAGTGTTTAATATTGCAGGCAGTTAAATCAGGAAATATGATTAGACAGAGGTCTTTTCAAAGTGTCCACGGATGATTTTAAAGTGAACAAGAACTCCTGCGTGAATCTGAAAAATTTCTTTCCTCTTTTTACATCCAACGAATTGCTCAGCTCTGCTGAATCCATAATTGCCCAAGAAAACTTCTCTGTTCCTAAACTTGCCTGGGAGAGGGTGATGGAGCTTAGCAATCTTATCAGGTTCCTTCCACTTCTCTTCTTGATAATTCTAATAAATATTAACCAAAGAGCCTTCTAAAGTGTTCCAACCCTACCTAATTTTAGACTCCAGTCCCTCACAATTTGATCCATAGGAAATAAAATTGCCTCTATTTGACAAAGTATGAAGTGCTGAGAGCTAAATTATTCTTCCTTGTTAAGAACTGTTAACAAGGAGACATAACATAAAATGACATCCTTTAATTTTTATTGTAAAGTAGGCTTTTTAGACTGCATATATCTTATGCCAAAAATGACTATGGTCAGCTCTGGTTTGTGATGTATCACCCTATTTAATCATCAATTACAACACAAATTAATTACAAACATATATGACAGTAACTGTAAAAGAGACTTTTAAACCAATTCTGAAGAGTACTTTTGGCCTTCAGACAGATGATGTCATAAGTAAACGTAATTGCTCAGGTTTATCCTGAGGTGGTTAAAAAAGCTGTCTGCCACAGTGTTGGAAGAATCAGGTGACATAAGAGATGACTAACTGATTACCTGATTTCCTTTAAATGAGCTTCAAAGAGGAGGCTGGCATTCTTTTAAACAGTGAAGGCATGTTCTGGGAACGTTTGTAGCCAAGTACATTAGGGAGACACTGAGTTAATCATAATACTGAATTAATAAAAGGTTTATCACCTACATAAACACCTTTTTCACCAGTGTGATTTCAAATGATCCCTAATACCACAATCAGTAGTATACAACAGAATCAACTAGTGATTAATCAACTCCTCAGGAGTCGGAGCTATCTCAGTCCCGTATTTCAGGTACCATATGGTTGGGGGAGAGGGCGGAGGAAGAATGAGTGAGCTTTGTAGGTTACCCTGAAAAAGGCCAAGGAGCACAGTGCAGCTTGAACCAAGAAGCCTGAACACACTAAGAGGAGGATAAGTATTATAGAGAGGACACAGACCTGAACCTTTTGGAGACACAAAGTGAATATAGATACAAAGGGCAGTGACCCATAAGGAGTTTGATTTGCAACATCATTGCTAAATAGGAAGGATGGTGGAACAATGTGGTTTTAAGACAGTACTCGCTATCCCCAATGAGGAGGATGCCAGAGATACAGTCGCCCGTCTTCTGGATTCTTCATCAAGTCCAGTTTCAGTTTCAGCAATGCTAATCTCCACTTTTTTAAAACGCAAACCATGTTCCTCTTAAGTTTATTGAAAATGTATCATACTTTATCAAACCTTATTTAGAAGCAGTAAGCTTAATAATGGAGAAAGGGCTAAAGCAAGGGTTTAATGCAGGGTTCCTTCTCTTATACTGGCTTGTTAGTGGAACCTGCAAGGAAAAAAAGGCCAAAACCACAGAAACAGTAAGAAAACCTGTCATAAATGAGCTTATGGAAAGCCAGCACATTTTGAACGGGGTGACACTTCCAAGGGAACATGAACATACTTCAAAGAGCACTGTAATTGAGACAATTAGATTTGCTATTTAGGAACTTACAGATAGTCATATAATGTGATTTAGATATAAAGAGTTTGACAAATCTCTGTGGATTTATTGAGCAGAAGCTACTTGGAGGAAGAAGATTAAGTGTGATAGTTAGGAGGAGAGAAATCTAGTGTGTACCAGAAGATTCCTCAGAGCATGCATGCACACATATGGGGCTCAAGCTCTGATACTACCCAGTTTCAGGATTCCCCAAAACATTTCCATTCTTTCCTGGATGAAGTTCTCCACTCTGGTAGTCAGTAATCTACAAAACCTTTAAGAAAGGCTCTGAAAGCCTTGAAGATTCTGTCTTGCAGAGCCGTTGTTTGAAAAAAGCTTAGATAACCTTGTGATGCTTCTTGCGGGCAACTAAACACATGCTGAAAAAACGGAACCAGCAGCTGCCACAAAGATCTGTTGCTCTAGTTGTCAGATTTACCTATACCCAGATCATAAGCCAACTATCATTAGTTTATCTTTCCCGGGACTATCATAGGATTTACTGCTTAAAAAACAGCTGCTGCCAAATGTCTCCCTGCCAGCACCAATAAGCACGTCTTCTCACTCTCACATCATGAAAAAACTACTGACTGCCAAGGGAACTACAGTACTGGTTTATTTTGATCTCTGCGTAAGGAGGCAGGCCAAAGAGAATTTTCAGTGAATTCTGGTTAGACTGTCTCTTGAAAAGGGAGAGACAACAGATATAAGCGGATAAAGCTTTTAGAGACGGGTATCTAGAAAACCAGAAGCAAGAATCCCTTTACCAACTTGGGCCAAGTTCGAAGAAACAGGAAGGAATGGAACTGGAAGAGGTAACTGAATAAGCTTTATATACAGACAGGCTTTACAGTCAGTGTTCTGTATTCATTTGAATAGCCAATGCTGATATCACATGTACAGTGTCTGAACAGGGAAGGTGTACATCTGAATAGGATAGGAGGAAACAGTGATGTATATAGGGATTATGTGTGTAAGGAAAATATAGTTTTTATATCTGGGAGGGAAGAAAATTCAAATATATTTGCAAGGCTGTATTGTCTGACAATTGTATCTCAAGTGATAAGTGTTCTATGTGATGCAAACTTTATTAAGAAAACAGAGGAGTTTTCCAGCACTTTCAGTCCTCACTTCTGCTTCTTTACTTTATCTCAGCAGATCACAATAAGAAAAGAATCCTGACTTTCTGAAAAGCAAGCAAAGACCATATATGTTGATAACTTTGACATTCCAAACAGTGAGAAAAATGTCTGAATTAATTTCATGCTATGCTCAAACAAGATGCGTGCCTTTGTGGTTACATGCGTATAAAGGGTGCACATAGGATTAATAATTCAAGTTCCCTCCATGCTTTTACAAGAAATACCTATAATTGTACAATGGAAATTTGCATGTAAAGCAGCAAGATCATCTGAAGTAGTTTAAGAAATCTAACAGCTTAAGAAATGTGTCAATGCTTAGGACTTGCTGCAGTAACTCAGAGCATGCTATGTACATTAGATTGCTCTGTTACAGGTTTTTAGTGGAAATTTTACTGAAAACTCACTAGGAGTTTATATAAGAACAGCTGCAACCAACTCTTCACCGCCTTCCCCAAGTCTCCCACCAAGCTGATGGTCAAAACCATCACAGACTTGCTCAAACAGCCCAAGCAGCACTCTAACCGGGAGGAAAGCAACGGAATAAGACACACCAAGGTTTGCTTTGCTATTAGATATAAAAGATGAATTTTTCTACGTTCAAAGCAAATAGAGGTACCATCTCTTCCAAATGAAGTATGTCAACACAGCATAAGATTAGTGTTTTAAGTGTCCTCTTCCAAAGATGAGCTGATGCAAATGAGGAGAATGGAATCTGATTGAAAAAGAATGCTGAAGCAGTGATCAGCAGATGATGATTACTTTAAGATCTTGCTATAGCTTGATCTATTAGAACCTATCTTAATGGGGCAAGGATTTAACTCAGGTAGGTTTGAAAACTGCCTGCTCTGCAAATCCTTATGCAACGGAATAGTCCATTTTCAAAAGACAAGAGATGCGTTCCAGAAGATTTCAGTCACTAGGTATTTGAAGAAAAGATTCTAGAGGAAAGAAAAGGGGGAGGAAATCCTCAAGTAAGAAAGGGTTCGGAATCCATCAAGATATGAACTGCCAGACATCCATTTCTCTTGTCACAAAGGTGCCATAACTTTCATATGATTTAGTGATTATTACGAGTTCAGCAGACATGACTGGAAGGAAACCCTGACACACAAAGGGTAACAATTTAAAAAGAAAACCCAAAGAAGGTGAAGAGAATCAATAGACACATGCAGTTATGCATCTTTTAGATCCGAATGTGATACACTTACATGGCCCCTGTTGAACTTCATGGGACCAACAGTGAGGTTAGTTGAGGCCTTCAAATCTTGCTAAAAGACATCTCAACAAGATGATCCAATATGGCTCGATATTTCTTCCTTTTCTTTCTCACCTGAATTTAGAGGATGCAGAGTCTAAATTCCTTATGTTATTTCTTACAAGAATAGCATTCAAGATGTTTGAAAGTGCAATATTAGAGACAGCTTGGGTTTCAAAGGAAATGATGTTAAAAGTTAGTGATATATGAATGTACAAAACTACGACCATGATTCTGTATTTTCTTCTCACCCCTGCATTCCTAGGAAAATAAGGTATTTCAATATGATGGTAGTAACACTACAGTGACTCAAAGATACAAGTTAGACTTAAAAACAATGCCTCAATTCAATATACATCACATTATGTAGTATAGCATTCCTTCTTTCACTAGATATCCTTTTCTCCTCTGCTCCCTCCTCCTCTTATAAAACAAAACCAAAAAGCACAGTATGAAGAGGTGATCCGTCATTGATAGAAAGAGAATTATCTAAAGGAGATCTTGTATAACACGAAACTGTTATACAAGACTGTTATACATAAAACTGTTTTGTATTTATAGTGGTAGTATAGTAAAAAAGGGATTTAAAATTAAAAAAAAATTGTATTTGCACAAAGCTCTTCTATTTAAGTATTTAAAAGAGATACATAGTTTGTATCAAGAAATTATATATTTTATAGAAACTTCTATGAAGAAGCTGCATATGAAAAAATCTTGTATTTGATGTCCAATTGTGACAGTAGAGCAAATAGCTGTGTTTCAGTAGGAATGTGGTAATCAAATCTGAAAGAAGTTTTAGATTAAAAAAAATATTATTCTCCATATGAACAGACTGTTACATTTGTATTTTTTTTAAAAACTGTATTTATTACAACACATTTCTAGAAGCCATCTTCAAGATGGAAATTCTCATTTGTAATTGAAGCACAGCCAAAACCAGGCAGATTTTCAGCTTGTTTCAACTTTCTGAGCTGTAAGAATGGAAGTACAGTAATTCTTACCTGCCGTGGCTGCTCTGTTACTCGCTGTGGATCAGATCTCACTTTGTTACTAGGATGATTGGTAACTTTGGTGACTGGTTGTTTGAAAATCGATGCTGTTTGTCTGATTGGCAAAGTTGTATTTAAGTCTGGTTTTCCCTGTTAAAAGAAAAAAAGTGAATTAACAAGTGTTATACACCAAAAAAATCCATATAGTAATGTTGGATTCACCCTCTTCTACTGATTGATTAAAAAAAAAAAAAAACAGCTTTTTTGGGAGTAAAGATTTCCCTTAAATGCTATATCCAACTAACCTTTGTAGTCCTCCATTTTAAAGAAAAAGAAATGTAACACTTAACTAGCTGCAGGTATTTTCACCATCTTTTATAAATTATTCTCTGGAAGAATCAGACTGCTTAGAAGTCTGCCTTCTCTTTTGGTAAAATACATGTTATTTGTGTAATTGGCTTACACTCTGAAAAGAGACAGCTTCATTATCAGGTGGCAATATGAATCTCCGAAGCGTCATGAAAACATACTTGTAGCAAACAGCTTATATTTACAGAGTTCCAAGTCCTAAAGGCCAGCAACTTCCTACATAACTCTGGTCATTAATTTCCTAAGTGATTCCTATATCAAAGAATTCTTAATTGAGTGCAATAATTTATTCTGGAGAGAAATTAAAACTATTCTACTTTAACAAATTCTGCTGGAAAAGCTAGATTAGTTAGGTTTGTGAACTGATGATTCCCAGCCATCACAGATAACACTTTACTGATACATCTTGTCACATACAAAACCCTTCAAACCATCAAACCAATCGGATATACTGGAGCACAGCTCCCCTGTGTAGGTATAATCTTGAACAAACTTCAAATCATGGAAAATCCACTGGACACCTATACATTTTTCTAATTAACTGCTGGGGAAAGTATCTGATATTCACAGAGGGACAACAGAAGAACAGATATGCATGTATCATATACACACATGCGCAAGCACAGTGTGAGAGAAGGGGGACACAGAGAACAGAGACAACAGTAATTTAACTACATTTTCTTTATATAAACTGATTTTTGAAAATAGTCAGCATGAACTATTGCTCCATTTCAAATTAGAAAGGCTACTCTAATTGCTTTGTTTGAAAAATAACTCAAAAATATAACACTAGATTTATTCTAATCTGGAAGACAGGAGGACAATTTTTCATCATAATTTATTTGCAAGCCTTATTTTATGTAATTACAGTTAAGCTGGCTGTGTGCCTATTTTGTTTTGTCTTTCCTCCCAGTAGCTTTTGAATTTTTTGCCCAACGTCAACCAAACTTTTAAAAAGCCTTCAGAAAATTTCTTTATATGAGTTTTGTGAAAGGTGGTATTCAAGTAGGGATGGGAGCAGGGAGAGCAAGAGCGTAGGGAAACATCACCACCGAGGGAAAGGAAAGCAGAATGCATTTTCTGTGTAGCTAGCCAACAGTCAGCACATACTTAACTCCAGACCATCACATTGTAAACCATTTCCTGCCAGGGAGTGGGAGCTTTCAAGCAGGAAATCAGAGATACTTAAGTGTAAGATTAAGGAATACAGATACACATAGCACAAGCATAAAATGGCAAACTTTATTACTCTAAGTGCTTACTAGACAATTTTTAGAGTTTCAGTACTGAAAGAACATTTCCAGGCCAAACAGCTTAAGGTATTTCCCATTAGTTTTCTCACTCATTTCCCCACTCACTGCTAGCAAAATGTGTCATACAGACACTAGTCCCAGACAAAACTGATACCAGCTTCCTCAGAAGTGATCTTTAATGAAACAGGAAGGTCATATTAACATGCATCATATTTCTGGTATCAAAAACACTATCAAAGCTTTGGAGCTTAATGATACATTCATGTTCACTACAAATGAACAAATTCAAGTGTGAATGATCTGAGCTGTGTGGTTTCAACTAAGCCTGGGTTGGAGATACTGCTAGTGCTTGAATCCCTCTGTGTAGCAAGAGCCCCAAAAGAAGCATTTGGGCTGGGGGAAGAGAATTTTCCCATAACCTCCAAGACTGACGAAGAAAAGCAGAGATACAATATCAGCACACCATGTCAGCTTTCATAAATCTGTCACTCTATCCAAAAGCAGACTGTTACTTTGAAGTGCTGTGACAGCACGACAGTATCTTAGAGCTTTCTGTCTGCAATTCCAGCTCCTCCGAGTCCTGAAGACAGGAGTCTCTCAAACTTTTCTCCTCTTGCATTTCTTTTGTTGTCTTAACAACTACAAGCTCTCTCAGCTTCTTTTTTAAGGCATACAAGGGTGTGACTGAGAATACACATGTGCTTATATCCACACAACAAGAGAGACAATGAAAACCAATATCCTCAAGTTTAGCAGACACATATTTTCCCAATGAACACATATTAAGAAGTATGTTCCCTATTTTGCATGACAGTTCTAGGCACTTCAAAACATTTAACAGCTATATCTAATTTTCACAAAGAAAGAGAACTGTTCAAGCTTTTGCTTTTTAAAAGTTTAGTTACTTGTGGAAAAGGAAGAAAAGTAAACTATCATATAATATTTCAAGTCCTAGAAGAAAGTTTTATAATTGGCTGTGAGATCATAGTTCAAAAGTTACACAATGAACTTTGATATTGTACCAAGAACCAAGTTAAAAGAATTTGTCACTAGGATTTACTCATATACCTATTATATATTTATACTCTTTTTTCTTTTTCTTTTTCTTTTTTTTTTTTTTACTATAAGAAGTAATTTCTTGGGCTTAGAAATGTGAATTAAATCTCTCTTCAAAGCCTCAGTATTTAGACTATATAATTTGGACTACACAACTTTATAGACTAGAATGTGTTAAGAACCAGAGAGCACTAAATGTTTAAAAGCCTTTAGTTCCTAAGCTGAACATACTGGAATTCCATATAATTTAAGTTAGATAGATATTCTCTAATGATCTATATAAAAATGAAATAAAAAATTTGGCTAGGGGCTCAGGCTTATTAATAAGCTTTCTGTTCACAGCATCAGTTTCAGATTAAATTCTTATTTTAAAAGTAGGTATCCCTCTTTTAGAGCTTTGCTAGGAATCCGACAGGGTAGTTCCTCCATCATCACAGTCCACCATGCTCCTGTATTTTAGCATATCTCGGTTATTGTAAGGTGGATAGGAGATAAGAAAGGGAGGGTGAAGTCATTCTTTCTACATTTGTACAATGAATAGCCTATAAACTAGCAATGAAGAGAACATAATCTCTGCACTCTGCAGAAAGTAATTTTCATCCAAAAGAGCATTCTACAGACAAGCCTCTTAATCCCAAGATATATCCTCACAAACCACAACAGTTATCATATTGGCTACTCCCATCCAACTATTTGACTCATCTTTCGGGTGGAGGGAGAGCCTCTTTATATAGCCTCTCCAAGATGACGCTGAGCTATTAAATTCTTCCTGGTGGAAAAATTAAGGAATTCCTCCATATAACTCCAAGGCCTGTAAATAGGAAGGAGCAGCAGAATAATATTTCATATTTATCTAGGCACCTTAAAATGTAACCTAAATTACAGGATGGTTTTAATATTTCAGGCCTAAATTCTTTACCCAGCAGGCAAAGAAGTCAATTTGTCAAATGTACTATGCACATTCTTATCTATTCAACAGTATGACTCAAATCATACACTAGTTTATAAGTAAGTTCTGTAATATGTTGGGAATGCTTGAGTAATACTGATTTGCTCATTATCTTGTAAAAGCCAAAACAGCTTTCCAGACCAACAGAAGAAATATGCTAGAACACATAAGTGAACCTTGACCTCTCCTTTTTTTTTTTTTTCTCTCTCCAGGTAGTGCAGTTATCCCATTAAAAATATAATAAGGCTAAAACCTCAAATTCCAATGGAAGTTTTCCTCAGAAATTCAGGTACCTAACATTTCTACATTTATAAACTTACGGCCAGAAACTACCCAGTCCCCATGTCTGAAATACTATTGCTTTCAAAAGAGAAAAGCAGCACATCTTCAGAGATCTCCATTTTCAGCTCCACCGCTGACCCTGTTTATTCCTAACTGCTGTGACCGGAGTTTCCATGGCTGGAGCAAACAGCAAGCGAGCATCAGTGCCTAATTCCACTTGTTAGTTCAAATCATGCTGAGAAATTACCATTCAATAGTACACCAATTCAAGGATCTTCCTATACAAAGCAAAAATGAGAGTCTAAGTTTGTAGGCAAGTATATATATTGGTCTTTTCCTTCTGTTTCATCCAGATAGTCCCACCCTACTTGAGGAATACTTTCAGACACTTTGAGCATTGCTTTTAGCATGTGTGTTGCATGCTAGATCAAGGACCACTGTAATGGGTTTCTCCTAATTCATACTGTGGGCCACAACGAACACTGCTACAGATCTTCTGACCAATCTAACTTATCTAGAAACATCATTCTGATTCTGCTTTTTTGTCAGGTATGCTAGCTTTTCAGAGAGCGCTCATATAACTCCCACATTTCAGCTTATCCAAAGTTTGATGAAGTTCCACATCCCTTCACAGGTTACGGGTTTTCTAGAACTTTTTATTTCTCCTCCCTAGCTCCATAAAAAGAACAGGGAGTACCCAGAAGCAGTTAACCTTATTTTCTTTTTAAATGCCTTTTAGGCAGAATATATGAGCTTGAACTCACACAGTCTTGCAAAGGGGTCCAATCCTTCCAGTTTTGTCCATTCCCCAGGATACACTGATGTTTATTCAGCAGCACATGTGCTTGCAGGCTCATTTTCCATGACAGAGAGTTTGAGATACTGACTATAGACTTTTTTTCCCCCATCAACAATGAAAAAGTAAGTCTAATGTTAGACCTTTTGTGTTACATAATGGTGCAGCACTGGGGAAGCAAAATACACAGAATCACCGATCAGAGCTAGACAACAACAGCATGTACTTAAATTTGCCCAAAGTATTACGGCAATCAAATTCACTCACACCACGTAATCTGCACCAGTACCTTGACAGACTTTACCTATCCTGCAAGCTTCACATTCCCTGATCTTGTGACATTAAGTTCAAAGCAGTACTTCAGGCTTTGAAGTCCATGCCTCCAGGACATTCTGTGCAGTAGCACCAGAATTAGTGGTAAAAGGGCTATTAAAACTGAAAAAAATAACAATATTACTGAGCCATCTGCAACATGTGGGACAAACTTGATTCAACAAACATTTCTAGAACAAAGGCCTGAGATTCTAGCTCATGAAAAAAATTTCAAGATTTCTTTTGGTCTGAAATCTAACTTAAAGAGAAGTTTAACTTTGCTTTACACCCCGAATACATTAACCTTAAAAGGGGAAATTCCCTTAGGCACTGTGAGCACTTAAGCAAATTCAGTTACATTAAAGAGCTGTTTAGCCTTTACAGTCAAAGCACAACTCTGATGAGTTATAATCTATGCAGAAAATAAAGGTTCATATTTATCAAGCAACTATCAAGCACAGACCATCCAGGATTTTTGCAATGCCATGGCTCTTACCTAGATATCCCATAAACTGTTTAAATCAAGGGCACATACTACAAAATGGTCATTAGGCTAAACCGTCTAAACTAAAAATAGATCCATTCCTAAGTACTGTAATCATACTTTTATTACTTTCTGACTTTTTCCTCCTTGCTAGTCACATCTGGGCTTTCTGGAATCATTCTAAATAAATTAAGTCTCCTATTTGTGGCATGGAGTTTTGAACCACAGAAATAAACTTTTTGGTACAGAAACTTGTTAAACTCATCTCTAGCACCCTGCAGATCTTCACATGTACAGGGAAAAAAAATTATCACATGGTACAGGAAGTGACCGATGTTCAGATAAATTGGTTTTTTTTTTTTTTTTAAACAATACACCAGAACCCAGCCCATGTGTGAGATTCATTCACGACAGGGGAAAAGTTTCCAATAGTTACATCCCAATAGATGAGATAACTAATATTTCTACAACCAACACCTCTGCTGAAGCTCTCTGTTGAGAGATCCTTTGAATATTTGAGATGAAGGACACTATCTACATATTTTGACTGGCCAGACACAGATTTGTTCACTTCAGACAGTGATTAAGGTCACCTTATTCAGGTATAGGCATACCTACAAAACTTCAGCATTCAGAAACAAAGAGATATTGTGGTTTTTACATTGCTTGATTACTATGGCAAAATAAAATCCTTTCCTATTCTGGGAACTATGACAATGTATCAGCTCATAGGAATATCAATGTTCCCTGCTCAATTTTATTCATTATTAAGAACATTTTATGCTCCATGAACAGTTTCCAACGAACCTTTCAGTTCACTATCTTTTCAAAGACATGTATTTCCAGAAGCATCAATGTCCCCCAGACATTAAAGAGAAGACGACATTTAAAAGCTCAGTAACATATTTCCAGGTCTTTCAAATCCTTTAATCTAAGAATTCACTTATAACCAGGTAGTATGTTTAACCAGTAGATTCTACTATGTTTCTCTTTCAAGATAAAGAACTGTTAGGCATATTTTTATAAGCACAGCAGTGTGCCATTTCTATTGGATACCTATTCAATTTAATTTCATTGTCTCTTCAAAAGCGCTTCAAATGAATCAAATAATTTGCAAGTGAAATGTAAAAATGCTTACACTGAAAGTAGTGAAATGATTAGTGTAAGATGAAGTAAAACTCCTCCCGTGGCTCTGCAGTAGACCAACCTATCAGATACTCGCCTTTATTGCCAGTTTTGAAAGGTCAATAAGAACGCATAATGCTAAGATAGGAGAAAAGTATACTGCTAGAACAGTATTTCTACATCACTTACACTGTTGCACATTAATATCGCAAAGCAAAGACAATTATGTACATATAATATCCTCGGTTCCAGTTGAAACCAGGAGACATTAATATGTCATTGAAGACACGGAGTTCTAGGCTGCTAATGATGAGAATCTCAAAGTTAGAAGTATGGCAAGATGGTATTTCCATCCACCACATGTATATATCTAACTGCCTAGACATGTCTGTGAAAGAAGGCTCAAGTACATTTTTATACTTGTTCTTGAAACAGAAGAGGTGCCAAAGAATTTAGAAACATTTGTGGTAAATTGTTTGTATAAAAACAAACAACAAGTAAAACATGAGCAAGTTTATACACCAACTTGCCTATGCAAGTCTCTCTCTTAAGGCTCCGCTAGCAGCACAGCTGCAAGGTGGACTAGAAGATGACCACAACCAATCTCTTTCAACATCTGTGGAAGAAAATATAAGCTTCAGGATTAAGCTGAGGTCCTATTTTTAACTAACACAGGAATACTGAAGAAATTCTGGAAAGCCTATGAATTACAGATTAAATCACTCAGAAATAACAAATGTTATTTACGTTAAAAAACAGCATTAATTTAGATTCTAATCTTGCATTTAACATGGTTACTCTGAGCAACATACAAGTAATCTAAAACCTTAGTAAAGCAAAGTGAGCACAGTTCCATCTCTATTTTATATACCAAGTTTTTAAATTTCTGCTTATGCAAAAAGCCTAATCAAAACCTTTTCCTAAGACTACCTCATAGTTATACTATTTGAAAGCCTCATGTTTGTGGAAAGAAAAAAAAAAAATAGAAATAAAGTGAAGGCATGTTTTAAATAAAAAGAAATCAGCATGAAATGTGTAGTTCACACATTAGAAATGGCAGATGACAAAAAACATCAGTATACAGGACTAGGCTCTAACTTGTCAGCTATTTTCACACACTACTGTAAGTTATGAAAGCCCTAAGAATAAAACACTTTAAAAGCAAAACATTGGAGGCTGTTACAGAAAACCTTTCAAACATCTGAGGAAACCTGTTGTATTAGATATTTATATTAGGTCCAGCAATGTAGTATCTGAGCGTCAGTTAAATTCACTTGTCATCTCCCTAGAAGGCACATCAATTATTTTACTTCCGTGTGCTTAAGCCTTTTATTTTCAAGCTACTGTATAAATTATCTTCAGCATTTGGAAGGCTACACTGTTGTTTAAAAATAAATAAATAAGAGAACAGTCTGACTCAATTAAGTAAGACCCAGTCGTGAAATAAATACAGAAAAAATACTTGGCCTTGTTTAGCTGCATAGCTACAAGCAGACATCCAGATTTGTACAGACAAATACAGTTGCCTCAGAAAACAAGCTTCCCGGCACATATTAAAAACGTGAACTATTTCAGCTCAGAACAGGAAGATGAACACAATAACTTCAAAACTTGCACAGGACAATCTATTGGTGTTAATAGTCTTAATTCTTCCCATTTAGAAGAATATTATTCAGGTAGATGACTAGCACTGAAGTTTGTTCTCTTTAGTCATAAGCCAACTCCTGAATTACTCAATTTTTTTTTTCATGTTTAACCTCACCTTGGTATTTTCTTGGTAGTAGCAGAGCATTCCCTCTATTTAAAAATTTGCATCTACCACTACTAAAAATTAAACATATATGTACACCTCAGAAGCAGACTGCTTTAAGCAGAAAAAAAATTACTAAATGAACTATAGGAAAGGATTTTTTAGGATATCCTTAAACACAGTATTTACTAACAAACCTTATTTTGATTGAGAGAATCATTCCTTAGTCTCTGTTTGTTCTTCTGCAATTTACTGGGCATCATCTTTCCCGTTCTGAAGTCAAAACTGCTGAGATCAACAGTGTTTCCCAGGTATCTTGCCAACTGAGGCTTGCTTCTGAACTTCTTACCACTTGGACTAAAAAGAAGAAAACACTTTAGTATGTTTTGTTGTACAAGAGGATACAACTGTGACTTCTTATAGCAGGTTTTATACCTTGTTAAATATCTGTAAAGTTTCCATATCTTTACTCCATGTGGCATGTTCATTGATGCATTGATTAGTGATAGTATACCTGCCCAATCTCTGCATATGCAGTCCCATCCTTTGCCTAAGTTTTAACTTAGATCTCCAGCTGATGGACACGAGGATACACTACACCCTGGAAAGCTGCCTTAGCAGTTAATCTAAACTAAACTCAGATATACGCAGTATAGAATGGAATGTCAGACTGTGGACAAGTGAAGGAATCTCTCTGCACAAAACAAAGATCAAAGGCAAGGTTTAAACTGATCGCTGGCTAAGGTCAGACAAGACTCAACAGCAACCCATCTCAGCAACCAAACAGCATGGCATTAAACAGAAGCGCAGAACCAAGATCTGAGGTGACATAACATCACTTTTCTATTCAGTCACTAACACTGGTGAGCGAAGCCAGAAAAGTAACCGAGCAAGAAGCAAGCGAGCAAGATGATGCAAAATATGAAGCAGGTTCAAAAGCTGCAACTGTGTATACGAACGGCAGATCCTACCGCAATAGATGAAGTCAGTTATGTAATACATAATTCACCAAAATCAGCTTCACTTGGAACTATTCTCACTTACCCCAAATTCCCAGCTGATGTTTTGAGTAATATCAGCAAATATCCAATTTAGAGTTATCCTAAGAA